GCTCTTGAAACTTAAGGTGCAAACACAAAATTTCACTTTGATTACTTAGTATTGCTATCAAATATTTAAAATATATTAAAAACTTTTTTGAATGTGTTTTGAATATAAGGTGTACACTCTTGAAACAATAATATGTAATCCTTGTACGAATCGTGATTAATCCTATGAGATTTATTAGAAGAATAATCGCACATGATAATTCTCTCTAATCTAGCTAAAGATGTACTTGATTTTTATTCCTAATAGGTTGTTCATGAATAAATGATGAATTCTAAATGACTTTATTTTTTGTGTACATTAATAGATATATACGCATAATCCAACATATACTTATCAAGATATTTCTATCAATACTTTATTGTGATAATAATGATGTTCAATCGAAAAGAAGTATGGTAGACAAAAAAGTCAATCTGATTAATGGAGTCCCATTCAAAGTTCTTCTGAAAGTCGTTCAATGTTCGACTGCATCGTGCATAGATTATAATGAGAAGAAGGCAGACATTTCGTGTAGATAGCTAATGCTTGATGATAATAATCAAGTGCCAACGTAGTTTTATCAAGATTTTCGTAAATATGACCTATGTTTGATAAACTATGGCCAATGTTCTCATGATCTGGTGGTAGAAGTTTGAGACGCATTAAGAAACAATTCTGTTCACATATAAGAGAGAGATTATGCTCATCTTTCCATCTTTGCATATTAGCGATATTACTCAAACTATAAGCAATGTTCACATGATCAGAAGGATAATTCTGTTCTTGTATCATCAATGCTTGTTGTTGAAATTCGATAGCTTCATTGTACTTTCGTTGATCTCTTAAAACATTGGAGATGTTTATCAGGCTATCCACAATACCAACTTGATTGTTGGCGTCAAATTTCTCTCGAATTGTTAGTGCTCTTTGATAGAAGTCAAGAGTTTCATCATACTTTCTTTGCCCATACAGAGCATTCCCAATATTACTAAGAACGATAACGATACCAGCATAATCAAATGGATGAAATTTCTCTCGAATAGCTAATGATCGTTGATAGAAATCAATAGCTTCACCATATTTCTCTTGGCTATATAATACATTACCAATAGAATTCAGACTTCTCGCGATGTCGATATGAGTAGATTCGTAATGATTTTCTTGAATAGTTAAGGATTTTTGATGAAATTGAAGTGCTTCATCGTACTTCTTCTGTTTATATAGAGTGTTACCAATGAAGCTGAAAGTATGAGAAGTTTCGATATAATCATCAGAATAAAAGTTCTCTTGTATCGAAAGTGCTCGTCGATAATAGTCAATTGCCGCATCATACTTTTCTTCATCGTATAGAACATGACCAATACAATTGATAGTATCAGCTAAGATAACACTTCCTGATGGATAATATTTCTCTTGAATTTCTAATGCTCTTTGATGATATTCAATCGCTTTATCGAATTTTTCTTGTTGACGAAATGTTCTGCCAACATTATTGAAAGTTATCGCAATATCTGCATGACCATTTGGATAATATTTCTCTTGCAGTTCGAGTGCATGTTGATGAAACTTCAAGGTTTCATCATATTTTTTCTGTTCAATGAGAACATTACCAATTTGATTGAGAGTGTAAGCGATGTTTGCATAATACAATGGATAATAGTTCTCTTGAAGTGCTAGTACTTGTCGATAAAAATCAAGAGATTCATCATACTTTCCTTGTTCCCTGTGTATATAGCCAATGTTGTTTAGAGCACAAATAATGTCGTCATGACCAGAAAAATAATATTTTTGTGATATTTCCAGCATTTGTTGATAAAATGTGAGAGCTTCATCATATTTTCCTTGTCTACAGTGAGTATTTCCTATTCCAGAAAGAGTATAAGCTATATCGACATGTCCAAATGGATAATACTCTTGTAGCATTGCCAATGCTCGTTTATGAGTCGTCAGAGCTTCATCATGCTTGCCGTCGAGATAGAGAATGTAACCGATATGGTTGAGGGTGGATGCGATGTATATATGACCATTTGGATAATAGTTTGCATAGATTGACATTGCTCGTTGACAGTAATCGAGGGCTTCATCGTACTTTCTTTGATATGTAAGAACATGACCGATATGCATAAGAGTAACAGCGATATTGATATGAGTAGAATGATAATATTCTTCGAGTAAAGTCAATGCTTGTTTATGAAAGATCACTGCTTCATCATACTTTGCTTGTCGAAAGAGGATTTTTCCGAAGCTATTGAGACTAGTAGCGATAGGCACATGACCATCCAACGGAGTTTTGCTCAGTTGTAACGAACCACTTTCCTGTAAGTTTTGACACATTTCTTGTAATTGAGTTCTGTTTGACTGTGCGTCAACAAGTTCCATCCTGTTTGCCGCATGTTTCGGAAGGAACCAACGATAAATTCCTAGAAAATATCTAGTCCAAAACCATCCGGTATATGATTGAAAGAATCTGCTAGATGCCAATAAAACATACCAGAACGATGTACAAACACGACTCAGTAAACTGCTGTGTTGATGAGTCGGTAGATTAGGTCTATCAATCTTGGTAGCGGGGTAGATTTTCTTTCGCAGTGCCAATGCTTGTTCATAATAATCACAAGCTTCTTCATACTTTCCTTGTAGATAGAGAATTTCACCAATATTGAGGAGTATATTAGCTGAATTCTTGACCCGTGTTGGTTTTACATGCATTATCCGATCATAAACATGATCATAATATTTCCTTGCTTCACTCCATTCACCTTTCCATTGAAGAACTTCACCAAGACTATATTCAACCATCGCAAGATCTTCATTGTTACTGTTCAAATTGTTCAACAAATGTTGAAAGAAGTGTTGTGACTGATCCCATTGACCCATATCACACATCAATCGTCCAAAGAGAATTTTAATACTCAGATCTTCCATTTGACGATGTGAATCTTTGATATATTTGTCTTTGATGATTTGACCCTCATTTGATGCAATCATTTGAATCAACCATATGTCATCTTCCATTTTTACACTCTCCAATCGAAAAGTGGCATTTGAATCGAAGATAATGTCTTCTTGTTCTTCACATGGTAATTTACTAAAATGAACGGTGTTAGCAACAATGGCACTGTTACTCAAATTCTGTAGATTGAATTGGATTTCTAAGAGAACAGGAATGAAATCATTTGTTCTTGAAGGTTTCATCGCTTGGTTCAATGAAGTTGAACGAAGACTACTTGTTGTGAAAAATCCATTGATTGAAACCAGTTTACCAGTGTTCTCTTTGAATTTCTCAATTTCATCACTTGTTAATTTTATTCCTCGATAGAGAAATCGTATTTCTTTACCAGACTGAACCTTTTTTTGATGTTCTTGAACGAAATTTTTCGTCAAATCTCTCATAAAATACCGAAACGTATCCAGTTGATCAAAATCTTTGGTTCTCAATGCTTTGTTGATGATTTTGTGAAGAAATGATTTTTTAAGATACCATTGAAGAGCTTCTTCTGATCGATATTCATTTTCAAATTTCTTAATCATTTGTAATTCTTTCGCATTATCTCGATAATAGGAACGACATGCATCGATCAGTTCTTGTTTAGCTTCTTCATTGTGTGTTAATTGAAAGAGAACATCATGATAAAGTTGAAACCAAAGAAAATCAGCAGTTTGTTTTGAAAGATCTTTTGCCCAGTGTTCATTTTGATCAAAAAAGCTGAATATATGCAAATGTTGATCGAGATAATCAACTTGCTCTTGTATTGATACACACAATAAATCGAGTTCATCATAGATACCGATAAATCTTGAATGATTAAGAACTAAATTTTTATGATCGACTTTTTCCCAGTTGAAAACAAAGATGCTGTCAATTTGAGATAGATTTTTAATATGAGATAATATTTGCAATGCATCATAAATGGAAGAGATAAAGAAGATTTTTTCATTATGAATCGATTGAATGAAAGTAATGCAAGATTCGAGTTGAGTATGGAATATAACATAATCAAGAATTTGACGTAATTGTTTCTTTGTTTGTTCTACATGATTATTGGAATTCATCTTGGAATCAAACCAAATTAGAGTGATGTCCTCTTTGTTGCTAATTCTGTCCATTGTTTCTGATAAATTCAGCAGAATAATGGTATGTGTTGAAATGAATGCCTAAAGTAATACCAAGCCGTAAATTTTCACGACCGAAGTGATACAACTGTCGAAAATGGGTCTGTCAAAAAAATAGTCGGTGGATTTCAACTGCAAGTAACTTATGGTTCTCGATTTTTCAAGAAACATCTGAATGATGTTTCATGTTGCAATACATGTCATGAGGAAGAGGAAACAATCTCTGTTATTCTCTCCAATTTTTCACCGTTATAATAAAATCACACATTAGACAAGTATTTAGATAATTTAAAAGAGCATTATAAAAATATCCAAACAATTCGCTCAAAGCGTAATCTAATATTAATCATGACATAATTAAGACAACAACAGGAAATATTTTTTGTATGAATTTGTATTTGACAAACAAACATTAAAAAGGACAAGTTTAGGAGTACGATCATCAGAGACTCAAGCATTTTGGATAATTATTTCTAGCATGTGTGTCAGACTCAGTATTTCTATACAAATATTAAAGAATTATAAAAATTAGTCTCACTTTTTGAACATAGAGCTAAATAGCATTTATCTATGAAGTTGAAATGTACAGGATTCGAATTACAAAAAGCGATATTAATTTTTACTCATGTGAAAATAAGTGAACAAAACATAAACAAGCAATTGCTGCTGTCTCTTCATGTGACCGTACTTACCTCTAATAATGAGACTAGTAGAACACGTGATGATATTTGAATATGTGCATTGATCGATCATGTGACGCATACATCATTGAAAGGAAGTGACTGGTTTTTTTTTCGACTATAATTTGTTTATGCACACAAAAAATATCTTTTCTCTCACAACGTGAATGGTCTATCTAATAGAGATGCGTCACGCTATTGATTCTGTTCTGTTCTTGTGCAATATCTATTTTTTCTTCTTCTCCTACTCATTTCCCACCAATATGCGCATCGTAATGTTCTTCAAACGCATAATAATCTATCTTTGTCAGTAACAAATTTCATGTGTGTACCATATGTTTTTGGTTGTATACTTTCATAAAAGAAAAACACTGTGCTAACTATTGCTTGATCTGTAAATTAAATCACGTAATTTCAATTGAACTAAAGAGTGAACGATAATTCATGTCTAGCATTTTCTACAATCGGATAGTCGAGTCCATAACGAAAATAAAGTGCAGAAGAGTGTATGGGAAAAACTTCACTGAGAATTACCACTTGAACATTTTGCTAGATAATCCACAAAATCTCAAAAAAATGAGTACACACCTGACTTGTTCATCTTTGAGTGCAACATAGGATCTGCGCCCATAATGGCCACTAGTAATTCGATTCTTTTTATAGTATGATTGACTTATTCGGTTCAAGCAAATAAATGTTAAGACCTTTTACCAGTAGAATTATTTTCGGTCATGATGCTTCTTATGTTTAACTATGAATGCCATGTTTTATCATTGAAAACATTTTTGTATATTCATCACGATTCTTTTTTATTCTTCTTCCCTTTCCTGTAAAAACTGCATGTGTAAGTAAGAATATTACAATAATATGACAGCAAATATTAGTTCACATTGCACACTAGGATCCGCATTTGTCATTTATGTTTATAGACTAATGAAAAAAAGTGACATATTCTTTCTGACTTAATATAAAACTCATTTTATTTATAAGTGACAATTGATGATTCAATCTACACACGGTTTAAGTTGAAGATGGGCGAATATTTATTTTCTATATTAAAGGAGCATAAAAACAGAATAACATGAGTCATCGAACTCAAAATCCAACCATGTCTACATATAGGAAACATACGAGTCGATATAACATTCTATGCACTAAGCATACTATTATATCCAATATAGATTTTTATTCGAGAAAAATGAAATTAACAACAAAATGAAGGTAATGATACATTGGGATAAACATATAACAGTCACATGTTGAATTCATAAACTACCATTAATAGCTTTATCAACTATTCAAAAAATTAGAAATTCACTTCTTCTAATTGGTGACAGAATTCTAAATGGTTACCTTCAGTAGAATGAAGTCAAGTTTTAGATTTCTGAAAATTTATTTTCTAAAGTGAAAACAAAATTTTTGTGACAATTATTGTTATGATTATTGAGTTGAAGTCTTAAATAAAGAAGTTAGATTTAAAGAAAAGATAATTCATATTATTAAAGTGTATGGAAAATAGTGGTGGTATTCATATAATACTGTATAAAAAAGCTGAAAAGAAAAAATCTATCTGTATGTTCTGGTAGTACTAAGTGTGTTGAATAAATCTTCATTTTATTATCATTTTTCAATTAAGATCATAATAATGGAAATTTTGATGAAAATAGTTTCCTTCTGTTTTCAATGAATAACAAAGACTTTTTGCTTCTTATTGAATAACTCTGTTCTGGTTCAGTACATAAGCTTCGCTTTTTTGAAGTGGAAAAATGGGTCTGATATAACTCTCATCAAGACAATGTTTGAAAAATATCGAAGAAGTTCATTATCTTGTTAACGATGATCCTCATATTACGATGAACGAATATGAATGAAAACTAAACTAGAGTCATGATACCATCTAGGAAGTGATTTATGACGATCTGAAAAGTAAGAAAACAACAGTTGCTCGTTGAATACCCAACGGGCTTACTGGTTTTCAATGTGCTGAAAGAGTTGGAATATGACAAGAAAATTTAACAATATATAAATAGTGAATAGAATCATGATTTGATTTAATGACAGGTGATGAATCGTCGTTTTATCATAAACAGGTTGGTCGAAAGTGCCTTTTTAGTTATCATGTTCAACAAGTGTTTTTGTCAGGTAAAACTTAATGAATGCATTGTTAATGGAGATTATCAGTCATCATTCCAATATTTCCTGTTAGATATGCATTAGAAAGAAAGTTTCAAAATCTTCCTAAGCTTTGATTGAGATCAGTCTCAAGAATTTTGTTATGTAAGATGTACTGCATTTCTTGCACTAGTGTAGAAGATTTGTTCGGAAACTACTTTCATTTCTTTTACAAAAAAATCGGAAAATCCATCATGCATATATGCAGCATAAATAGAGAAATGATACTCATCATAATGAATACCATAGATAAACTTAAAACAAATGACAGTAATGCATCCTCATTATTGTTTATACGTTCATCAATATTTGAATGTGTGTCATCTTACTATTTTTCCTTCAATACACCCTAACTTTGACTCTCGCTGACAATTATCAATAGTTGTTAAAGAACTGTAACTATGAAATACTGGAAAGAAAATCATACATTTCTAAATGACAAATTGAACAAAATATGATACATAAAAAAGGCGTTATCAGCATTCATTATTTGCAATGAACATTTCTCTTTCTCTATCGATTTTCATATATAAATATATATTCGAACTTCTTCATTAATGATTTATTTTTGTGATTGAGAAGATTTCAATTTTTTGTTACGAAAGTAACTGACGCATTTGATTGATCGTAGACTATGAACAATTTGTTAATTAATTTCTTAAGCGTAACTTAAATCAAACTCAATTATTAAACCAAAATGATCAAATGAAAATACGTTTTTCATGTATTGATGTTGTTTATAAAATGATAAGTTGTCAAAAGTCTTATTACTAAGAATTCGAATTGGAATTAAAAACAATGAAAGGTTGCTGACACCTTTTATTTTTGACTTTAAATTGATTGAATTGTGTTAAGACTTTTCATTGGTATTAAATTTTGAAACCAGTGTCAGTCGAAATTAAAATCTTCCATGGTTAAAGGCGTTACATTCAAACGCTTCATTGCAGATATATTGAGTACAGATTAATAAGTTTCTAATTGATGTGGTTCAAAGGTGTTTTCTTCTCATATCGATTCTAAATCTACAGTTTCTATTAGAAAGTATTTCCATTTATAGTTGTTGTCTATGAAAACAATAATTGCCTTTCTTGTCAAATATGACATCGCTATGATAAGAGTTGTCGTAAATCAACTATCGATTTTCTATCCACAGTTGTAAATTGATTGTCCCAAAAGCGAGTATGGATGATTTGTTAATATGTTCAACTGTTCTCAATCAATAAAAACAATATAAATAGTAAATATTTTTATTATGCCTGCTCTCTAAAAACGACATAAATTTTTCTTTCACAAAAATGTGATGTCTTTACGAAATTCTGGATCGAATTGTAAATGCAAACATCAGATTCTGTCATCATTCGAAAGCAACATGTTTTCTGTAAAATTCTATTTAACAATCATGAATATTTTATCATAAAATCTACTGATTTGACAATGCTTTATGTGATATTTATACTAAAAAGGGAATATTCATAAAGAAAATTTATTAAAAATGATTCATTTTCATTAATGCTTCTTATGAATGGCATCTTCGAAATCTACGCGAAAGCTTTTTTTAAATATTACAGCAAACAACATGCTATGATTTGAGTCGAATCAGCTATAATTAAGATCAATAAATAAAGAAAAATATAAATCTTTACTTACACCTAATTATCTGTTTATTCAAGTATTTGCTCATAGTGAACTAACCCTTGGTGAAAAACAAGGTTCTGAAGATATATTTTGAATGACGATAATTTGTTTGTCTAATACTTCGTAAGTAATTAATATAGAAAAATGTGCGAATATTTGTAGCTAATAATAATTATTTCTTAGAAAAACTCAAAACTAAACGGTATCTGATAGATATTCTATTATTCTTTCATTTAGATCTACTTTACTTTCTTGCAAAGATATACTACGTGCTTCTGACTGTTGTACGATCATACAAAAATTTTCAAAACGTAATGTTTAATGTTTTCAATTGAATCAAATATTCTGTGTACCAACTAATTAGAAACGATTGTTGTTTTAGAAGTTTTCTATAGTGAAATATTTATGGATCTTCAGGTGCTTATTTGTGCTTGGTTATATCATAATGCCAAACAGACAATTTATGAGAAGAGTGAACTAAAAAGGACAAAAAATATCAATTAATGA